TAACGTGTCCAATGCCTCAAAATTTCATAGCTTTGTGAGGAAAGTGGTAAATAATGAGTGTGCCCAGATACTATTGCACTGCCAGATACTTCCCTTGGTGTCCACCAGCCTCTTTTAGGGAAGAAGCTGGAAACTAGCAGCTGGCAAGTCCCTGCCTTTTTCATCCCAAAGCTCTCTCTAGATAGTAGAACACATCCTAGGGGGACATCTCACTGTATTTTCCTGCAGTTGTAATTATTTAGGAAGTAGGCAGCCATGTATAAATGAGTCCACCACAAGCTTTCAAAATTTCAAAAATGTACAGTTGCCTCACACTATAAAGCTTTATCTTTTTTCACTTGCCTTTTGTTTGCTTTTTTTGCAACACAGAACATAGAACATAGAATAACAGAGTTGGAAAAGACCTTGGAGGTCTCCTAGTCTAATCCCCTGCTTGAGCAGGAGACCCTACATTTCAGACAAATAGTTGTCCACAATAGAGATTACATATTGAAAGGAATGCCTTAGCCCCTGCTCCCAACCACTTAGGACACATTGGTTAGGATCAACACCTTTCAGGGAAGGCAGTAAGGTGGGATGGATAGCTTGCAGGCAGACTTTGGAAAGTCCAAGTCTTAAATATATTGTTAGGAAAGAGAGGCTATTTCCCCACTTCTATACTGAAGAGACCCAACAGGAGAAAGTGTACGTGCGCGCGCGCACACACACACACACGCATGCATACATACACACAAACAAACTTGAGGACAGAAATAAGTAGGTTTTTGCAGATAGGCATACCTTATGGTTTACAGACAAAGTCCATCCACAATGCACTTGGCTAAAACATACATAAAATCCAAAATAAAACTTTTCCTTTTTAAATGAATTTAGAACAGGGGTCCCCAACCTATGGCCCGGGAGTGGGCTGTGGGCTTTTGGCTGGTGCGCGCATGCGTGGGCGTGCATTTTCCCCCACTCGCGCTAGCGCCTGCGGCCCTGTTTGCACATGCACACAGCGCAAACAGAAATGCTAGTGCAGGACGGGTGTCTGCAGCCCGTTTGCACATGCGCCGCTAGCCCGGGCGGTTTGCGAGGCCCGTTTGCGCATGCGTGAACCGGCCACTAGCCGCTATGGGGTGTGTGCAGCCATTTCTGCATGTGCACGGAGACAGCACATGCTGCATGCGTGAACGGGGCTGCTAGTGCTGCACCAGTGTGGATGACCCCATGCGTGCACGCACGCACACCAATTTTGAAGCTGCTCTCCTTCCCTCCGGTCCTCGAGCCCGGAAAGGTTGGAGAGCTCTGGTTTAGAATATTCTCTCTTGATGAAACTTGGGTTATTCTTAAAGGCACAGGGAGAGAAAAAGAACACAAGCAACAGTAACATATTGGGTGGAAAAGACATTGTTTCAATCTGTTTTAGTAAAGTTAACAATGAGCTTTGTGTCCTAAAAACTTACAAATTCGTTGTGACATATGCTTTTATGATCCAGCATCCAATTCATTAAGCACAACAAGTACTATCCTCTTATTACCTGATATATTTCAAGGATACTTGAAATATGTGTATTGTGTGTTAGATTCATGTCAGTTTTATTCCTTATGTAATTTGCAGGATTTATTGCGATGAATAGAAACTGACCTGAGATTTCATATGTATCTGATTTTCAAAAGTGACACATTTTATAACATACTATAAAATTATATTATGTAAACTAATTCAGAGGAAAAGTCATAGGTAAGGGAGAATTTTTTTTAATTAAGAGCACAAATATACAATAAGTTCTGGTATTGGTATTAGGAAGGTAAAAATGAGGAAGCATTACAAAAAGAGTTTGAAGCTCTACGCCATCCTTCTATTTCTTCCTTGTTTTTTGTAGAGCTTTTACTACTTCAAGTGGAACATTTTAACATTCCCTCTTTCATGCTTGCTATCAGGTATTTTAGTGACAACTTTTCTGTAACAGGTGGAATTTGAAGGGCTGAAGCATGAAATCAAAAGACTAGAAGAGGTTACAGAATTCCTGAACAGCCAGTTAGAAGATGCCATAAGATTGAAAGAGATATCTGAACGCCAGCTTGAAGAAGCCTTAGAAACCCTGAAGACAGAACGCGAGCAGAAGAACAATCTTCGGAAAGAATTATCTCATTACATGAATATCAATGACTCCATGTATACCAGCCATTTGAACATCTCTTTGGATGGATTGAAATTTAGTGATGAAACCACCGAGCCCAATAATGATGAGATTGTGAATGGCTTTGAACCAAATTGCCTGAGTAAAATCAACAATGGCAATAATAAAGCATCAACACCAAAAAAACCCGATAGCTTTCCTCCAGCCCCTAGTTTGGTGAATGATCTTCTGAGTGAGCTAAATATATCTGAGATACAAAAGCTGAAACAGCAGCTAATACAGGTAAGTCTCTACTTTACCTATTCCTTCAATATGTGTATATCAATTTCTTAAAATTGAGCTTTTCCAAAAATATGTACCGGTTGGAGATTCTGTTTCATTGAGGTTGCTGAAGTGAACTGTAGTATTCAGTTTTAATATATCTTTTATATTGGCTCTATTTGAAATGGCATGTAGAATACTCAAAAGTTTCAAATGTGGTATGTCTTGCTACTTTCTACACTGTTTAGGAAAATAATGCTTTCGGTTACCATAAAGTATAAATCTGTTAAAATTTGAAGTCCACTGATAGTTGATTTTATTTGGACTGCCCTGATATTTAATTCTGTAAATTTCTAATATTACAGGAAAGCACATTTCACACCTGTAATTTATGTCCAGTGATATTGAGATTAATTTAAATAATTTATATGTGTTGGTTGAAATCTCATGAAATCCAAACTTTTTTTTCATACAAATTACCAACTTTTTAAGTTTTACTTTGGTTTTGTAATAAAGAGGGGAAAATTTTAAGTGTTAAATGTAGAAAAAATTAATTAAAAATCCCAAACAAGGATGCTCATGAGACCACATAAAACTTCATAACGTTGATTACATTGTTAAACATTGCTGATTATACTGTAAAGGCATTTTAAATAGTTTGCTAAAATATGAACATTCACAATATATTACTTTTCTAGATTGTCTTAGTTTCTTTAAGTATTTTAAAGAATAAAAATATTTCATGCAAATTTCAAGCAATTATTTTGTTTGAAGTGAAAGCTATTTCATTGTGTACATCTTTGTCTCATGGAAAAGTATGAATGAACATTACAAAAATATATGTTTATCATAATAGATAGTAGAATTTCCTTTGATCAGTTAAACTGATATGGATTGACTTTACTTATATAATCAATATATAATATTCAGGTAGTCCTCACTTAATGATCACAATTGGGACCAGCAACTCCTTTGATAAGGGATGCAGTTGTTAAGCAAGACTTCATGTTACCCACAATAGACTTATAAAGGTAGTCCTCCAGTTACGAATGTAATGGAGCCTGCCAATTCCATTCATAACTCAAAAACTGTGGGAATGTGGGAATGAATCTTGTACCTTGAACGAGATCACTCCCTGCTCGTTAAAACGCACGTGGCTCATTAAGTGAACATGAGGTATCTCAGCATGGAGAAGGCCATGGAGGGCCTAGTGATGGAACAGGCCCCCAAGGCCTCACTGACCCACTAAGATACCTCATGCTTCCTCCTCCTTTCATGCCAGGCCGGACTCACCTTGAAAAGATCTGTCTCCTCTCTGCTGCGGTTCCTGCTGCTGCCCGGATCTGAGGCTGGGGGACGCTTCTGTGTGCCTCCGGAGGCTGGATCCGGGCATCGGAGGCCTTTTTCAGGCCGCTGCTGCCTGGACGTGAGGCTGGGGAATGCTTTTGCGGCCCTCCAGAGGCCTGATCTGGGCATCAGAGGCCTTTTCCAGGCCGTTGCCATCCGGATCTGAGGCCAGGGGATGCTTCCGCGGCTCTCTGGAAGCCCGTTTCTTTTGGGGAAACATGGTAATATATTTATCCTTAACATTTGAATGCATTTTCAATCCCAGTACTGTAGATGTTTATACTTTGGTACATATTTCATTGTAAAACACAAATAGCAGTTGTACAAAGTAAGACTGTAGGTTAATGATTCCAAATTCTGGAAATAATAGCTTAAAACATTTAGATTCAATAATCTTATAGTATATACAAATTTAAATAAATAAATAAATAAATAAAAATATTCCTTGTTACATTTAACTGTAAATGCCAGGTGCCAAATTTAGATTTTTCATTTATGCGAGGCTGCTTTACAGGAACAGATACAGTGTGAGTTCAGAAAATAATCGTTATTTTTCATTACAGATGGAGAGGGAAAAAATGAATTTGTTGTCTACGCTCCAAGAATCACAAAAACAACTGGAGAACACCCGGGGTGCCCTTTCTGAGCAGCGTGAGAAAGTCGGCAGGCTCACAGAGAACCTCAGTGCTATGAAAAAACTCCAGGTCAGCAAGGAACGTCAGTCGGCTCTCGACAATGAGAAAGACCGAGATAGCCATGAAGACGGGGATTATTATGAGGTGGACATCAACGACCCAGAGATCCTGGAGTGCAAGTATAAAGTAGCTGTGGCAGAAATCAGTGACTTGAAAGAGGAACTTAAAGCTCTCAAGGCTAAATATGAGGAATGTGAATCCAAGTACGAAGAAGATAAGGGCAGGTACGAGACGGAAACCCAAGCCCTGACAGAAAAGATCGGCTCTTTGGACAAGTCTAGTAGGCAAGATAGGGAGCAGGTCATCAGATTGGAGAAGGAACTCAGGAAAGTCACTGATGTTGCTGGGGAAACCCAGGGCAGCCTTAGTGTAGCCCAAGATGAGCTGGTTACCTTCAGTGAGGAATTAGCCAACTTATATCATCATGTATGCATGTGCAACAATGAAACCCCCAACAGAGTGATGCTAGATTACTACAAGCAGGGCAAAGGAGGACATACCAGTCCGGAGGTCAAAGGCCACAGATCACCAATCCTGCTCTCTAAAGGTTTATTGTCGATAGACTTGGGGAAATCAGAAACCGGGAGTGGTGAAAGCAGTCCTTCACCAATTTCATCCCTCCCTTCACCAGTATCTGAGGTATCCCGGAAGGAACCTATGAATGTTTACAACCTGATTGCCATAATCCGTGATCAGATCAAGCATTTGCAGGCAGCAGTAGATAGAACAACTGAGCTGTCGCGGCAGCGGGTGACTACCCAGGAACTTGGGCCAGTGGTGGACAAAGATAAAGAGGCATTTATGGAAGAAATTCTGAAGCTGAAGTCTTTGCTAAGCACCAAGAGAGAACAGATTGCAACACTGAGGACTGTACTAAAAGCCAACAAACAGGTGAGATTTACACTACTTAGATTACAAAGAGAAAGAATTCAACACACACACACATACACACATATATATGTATACATCTAGATGTATACATATATACATCTAGAAATGTAATTACAGTAGCTCACTCATTGCTTTTTGTAAAAATCAGTTGCTATTTCATTCCCCCAGATAATTGTCAGCTCTTAATATAATTGACATTACATTACACAGAATATGGTTCGATATGGTATCATAAAAACCTGTTCCCAGAAGGTCCATCATCCTGTCTGGGAAGAAAAGTTCTTGTAACTCTTCTTAATCACTCTTCTTAATTCTGGGTCAGTCTCTCTGATTGCCGGCATGGCCATTTGGGGGGGGGGGGTATTTTGCTAGTCTTATTGAAATAAATAAATTATCATAAAGCTACTTTTGGATTATTATGTGTAAGTCTAAATTGATCCATCTAAATTGAAAGTAACAAACTGGAAAAGATGCAGAGAAGGACAAATCACTTTTGATGAATAGTAATTTAAAGAAAAGGAGTTTACTATGGAGAAGGCAAGACTAAAATATATAAAATGTATGTATAATGAGGGTAAAGTGGTCAGAAATAAATATTCTCTTTTCCCCACTCCCCCAAAAATGTTTGGCAACTTACATAGCTTAATCATTGCTTAGATGATTTTAAAGCAAAAGTAGACATACAGTATCATAAAGGATGGATTTATCAGTGAATAGTCTGAATAGCAATAAAAAAAGAATAGAAGTTGTCAGACAGGAAGTAAAGAATGTTGGTTTGCGTGCTTATTGAAGACATTTTGTTATTATTGTTTATGAAGTAAGAAATTAAGAAAGATTCGCAGTATCAGAAATCATTTCTCTTTCCTTCTTCCTGAATCCCACCAGTGTAGGTGGTAGAAGCAGCAATGTTGGAAGGAGTAGGCCTGGTGAAAATCAAAGCAGTAAGATGGTGGAAGAAGCATAACAACAGAAATCTTTTTGTTTGTGCCGTTTCTTTGACACTTCCATTGCAGACATCATTGGAAAGAAGGGTTTAGGTAAAATGTTGCTATTACAAGGCAATTCCCCAATGAACTCCTATCACTAACATTGTTGTTTCTTTCTTAGATTTACATATCAAAAGTATCTTCAGAAATAATGAATTGTATTTTAATTGTTCATTGGATTAATTGCCTGCATTGTGAAGTCTTTGTCAGGGAGTGTGAATACATTAACATCCCCTTTATCTGACTGGCTTATAGACGCTTACAATAACTGTGAATCTTTTCTTTTGCTCATTTTGGGAAACAATCAGACAGCAGAAGTTGCCCTTGCAAACTTGAAAAGCAAGTATGAAAATGAAAAGGCAATGGTTACAGAAACGATGATGAAGCTGCGCAATGAACTCAAAGCTTTAAAAGAAGATGCTGCTACTTTCTCTTCTCTGAGGGCCATGTTTGCTACCAGGTAAAATTTAACAAAAGATGGTTACAGCAAATAAAATTGTATGTGCACTTTATAGTAGTCACCTTAAAATTACACAATTCCGAGTTAGTGGGGGTGGGGTGGGCTCTGGGAAAGATAGCTTGAGTACTCATTGTTTCTTCTTCAGATATTAATTTCAATTACATAGATCAGTGATGGCGAACCTTTTAGAGACCGAGCGCCCAAACTGCAACCCAAAACCCACTTATGCATCGTCGGGTGCCGGGTGGGTGTGGCCCATTGGGTGGGTGTGGCCCATTGGGTGGGTGTGGCTGCGGTGGTAACGGCAGACTGGGTGGGACTAAAAAGTTCAATCAATTCCAACTTTGCAAGATCTTTTTTTTTCCTGCGAGAAGTTGAAATTGACTGATTGATTGAACTTTTTTTTTTTGTACACAGCGGCGGAGGCCTAAAGCGCAAAAGGTTTTATAAAACCCAATTGAAGGCCTAGGACTGGGGCGACAGTGCGCATGCCCACAAAGAGGGCTCTGCGTGCCGCCTCTGGCACCCGTGCCATAGGTTCGCCACCACTGACATAGATTGTATGTATCATATACACACACAAAAAAAATCCATGAAGCTGTATCTATGCTGTCTGCAACAGGAAAGCAACCCCCCTTCCAATAAGAGAAAAGTAGCAGATTCAGTATTCATGGTTTCTCTTTTAAGCAAATAAAAAATGGCAACTTACATCATTCTGAAAATGAAGGCACGAATCAGCTGTGATTAATAATAAGAGAAATATTGTTTTCAAAACCTGCCTATAAGTTAAAATATAAAAGATTGTGGAGTTATTTCTTCTCATTCAAAAATATGATGGTTTGGAAAACTATATGTTTCAAATGTTACAAAAGGTTTATGATCACAGTTAAAGAATAAATTATCATAGGCTTCCCTATTTGAAGTCACAATTGCTGAGGACAAGCATCATCATGAAAAATCTTTGTGCTAACTGCTATGAGGAATTATTTGGGAGCAATTAATGGTTGCTGGGATAGAAGACATAATGAAGGAGCTTACTGCCAAGAAGGACTGGAGAAACACTGATGACTGGAATAACACTAAATGTTATTTGATAAAATTTGACAGCATATATGTCTAAATCACATAATTTTTAAAAATCACATGGGAGAAAAGTTGTCGAATGAATTAGGTTTTCCTCACCATTATTGGAACCTTTTCAATAAAACAGTGACATTCTCTTGAGATAGTTCACAGGGCTGAAGCTTGGGATCTTGATCAAGATATTAATGTGGTGGCATTTGAGTAAAAGGCTGAGTTGTAATTCAAGAAAGGACGAGAATGGAATACTAAAAACCATAGCCTTGAATGAAAGGGAGACCGTCAAGAAAATTAGAAACGTGAATCGGTATTGACACCCATGCTAAGCAAATTTACCTAGTTTATGTGTAACATGCAGCCATAGTAGCTTTGTTTGCACATCATACTAAAGCAAATACAGGTTATCCTTGACTTATGACCACAATTAAGCCTACATATGTTTTTTGTGGTCATTAAGTGAGTCATCCCCATGATTGCCTCACTCAGTGATTGCAAACTCAGCTCCCACTGCAATTGTTAAGTGACCACACTGGAGTATCCTGAGTGGGAGGATACTGGAAGGCCCAACACCCATCAGTATGAGCCTTCCCTCTGCCCCACCATTCGTAGTAAGTTTGGGAATTCTGCCTGCTCAACCACAGGAGTCCACTTACTTTCTGTGCAGCTGCTGACAAGCACACCAAGCCAATGTGAGGGACAGCTACTCTAGAAAACTAGCCAATGTGATGCTTCCAAAAGTGGGAAAAGCCTTGGAACATTGCAAGGGCTGTTGTCCTTCTCACAATGTTTCTAAGGGCTTTTTCTAGCTTTCAGATTTTTTTTTTAAAAAATACATATATAAATAAAGCAGTTGTAATTTAGCATAAGATCTATTTCTTATTTAATAATTAAAAGGAGGAGTTTGATTTTTGTATGTGAAAGTCGGGATTCCTTGTTCAGATGGCAAGTTGGTGCCATACTAGTACAATACAGTAACACCATTTAGTTAATTTAAACCAGTGTTTCTCAACCTTGACAATTTTAAGGCATGTGGACTTCAACTCCCAGAATTCCACAGCCAGCAATGCTGGCTGTGGAATTCTGGGAGTTGAAGTCCACATGCCTTAAAATTGTCAAGGTTGAGAAACACTGATTTAAACCCTTTGCATGCTCATTCCTCTTCAAGCATCGTAGGCACTCAATCTGGTTTTCAAGAGATTCTCTGGAGCTTGGGAACACCAATATTGCACTCTCTATAACCTCTCTACACCCCACACATGTGAATAGACTATTCTTACAAGTTATAAATGTATTTAAAAGGCATACGTGAATCAATTCTCTTGTGTTAGCACCTGAAGGCTTTGCTCTTAAAAGTGCACTTTCATTGCAGGTGTGATGAATATGTCACTCAGCTGGATGAAATGCAACGCCAGCTTGCTGCAGCGGAAGATGAAAAGAAGACCCTCAACTCCCTGCTTCGCATGGCGATTCAGCAAAAGCTAGCCCTGACCCAGCGCCTTGAACATCTTGAGTTGGATAATGAGCAGTCCAAAAGGGTGCGCACAAAATCTGCACCCAAAGTCAAGAGTAGTAGCCCCAGTGTAAGTCATATTCGATCATGTGGAGACAAGTCGGAAGGCTCTGTGCTTAATAACCAAGTTTTTTGCAGTGATAAATATAAGATCTGTTGTGATTAAAGAAGAAATTAGGAAGCTGTAAACACACATCTGATATTTGTGCTTTTGAATGTCAGCATTAATCCCCACTATATCAATATTGCAGTGATGATTTATATTAGTATGTTGTTAAACCATGTAATACAAGGTGTATTATAATGGTCTTAACTGTAACTGAATCACAAGCATGGGTGGGGAAAAGGCAATGAAGAAGTTAATGGTGGAAGAGTATTTGCTGTTTCCACAGTGAATGGCTTTGGTTTTGTGGATTATGGATAAGTGCTAAAGGAGCATATCTGGTACAGTGTACATGCTGTTACTAACTGTAGCTTGTCTAACACAAATGGGATGCTTTTCCCAGAGTCACAAGTTTGTTTCCAGGGATGGAGACAGCAAAATTGTCTCCTTAGTTAGTAGTTTTGAGAAGTGATGGTATCTAGCTTCTAAAATCAGAAGTACAATGGGAGTATTAAAAGTAGATGATTAAATCTGCTACAGTGGTTAACTGCTGTCATTATCATTATCTCAAAATTCAAAAATCTTTTATCTAAGTTTTAAATATGTAGGCAAACTATGGGAAAGAAGGCAACCTTCTGAAGCCCTTTATTTCCTAGCCCTGCTTGGCTTTTTGGGCTTAAGCTATTAAAAAAATTGCACATTAAAAAAAATAAAATATGCAATATAATATTGCCTGTTTGGGAGGAGAATCTAATGGTTAAGGAAAGGAAAATTAGAACGCTACAGATGTGATGTAGGAAGAGTATACTATACTACAATGATAAAATATAATTTCTGGCAATTAATATGCTAGGAGGAAGGGTGAATTACACATTGGACATTATCCAGTATTAAGCTTACTTAACTTTCCTTGATTTTAGTGGGACAATTGCTTAATTGTTTTCTGCTGCAATTAAAGAGGTTACATAATGCTTAGAGGATGTCCACTATTGCTATCTACGTGTATAGAATTAATAGGAGTAAATTCTAGTATTGTCAAGTTGCAATGCAGTTTCTCCTTAACTGTCAGTATTAGAGCTTTATAGGATAGTATTAGTGAGCTCTTAAATTTTGCTTAAATAAAACAAAATCACATTTCTTATGCAACCACACACTTCACAGGGCTCTACATTCTAGGCACTGGAAACTAAATAATTAGTTTATTTTGGTTATGCCTAATTGTGAGGTAGTTTAGCATAGAGGTATTCATTGATTAAAAATACTTCGTCGAACTTTTAAGGGGCCTTTTCAGCCACTTAATTTCAATACACTAGATTTTTTAAAAAGTGTACTTCATAATTGGTGCCTAAAGAAGGGGGAATGACACAAGAGGGGGAAATTATGTTTTTTAAAAAATTGTGGTAAATCCAAGGAGCACAAAAAGGCACACTTAAAACAAAAACAAAATAGTTCAAAAGTGCCTAGCCTCAAACATTATTTTAATGTAAAGCCCTGTTCATACTGTACTTTTTTCAAATAACTTTGTATGCTTAAAATATTACAAAGAAGTAATGCAGGACGTGCAGTTGTGTCTGCTAATGTAGAAATATTTCCTTCCTTTCTCTTCCCCCTTCAAGCCATGCTAATAATAATCTTGGTGTTGTATTGCCTCATCTCACATTACTAACTTTTTTTAGATGATCTGCATCTTCCTTCCTTCCTTCCTATGTAGTGCTGCTCAGCCTATGAAGTAGCTAGGAGATATAGCAATGTTACTGTAAAATAATAAAGAGAGGGCTTTCCTAGTAAAAAGAAGCCAAGAATTGCTTACGTCTTTCTTGAAATTGGGAAGAAAATTGAACATATTTGCAACATGGGTTGTAAAGAAAAATTCTTTACTAAAGAGTGTAGAAATTAGGAGGTGAAATGAGTTCTGCTGAATTCAGACTAATTGTGAATTATTGACCGATTGGCAAACATATGATCAGTATTAAAATGGTAGGCCCTACATGCCTCACTTTATTATTGCTTTTGCTGGAAACACTCTAGTCTCCTGAATTTGAGCTTTAATGTAGCTATTTACCAGGTTTTGATATTTTAGAATGTCTTTTAACAGTGGTCCACCCTGCTTTTCTCTTTTAATGCTCAATAATCCAAAAGGCCTTTTTAAGCTCTGCTCCCCTTCTTGCAAATTGCCTTGTCAAAACCCCTTCATTGATAATAAAGACTAAGCTATTTTGCTCCATTAGAAGCAGCAACCTTTTGCTTCCAAGTTAAGAGGGCTCTATGAAATACAGTTTTCAAGCATCTCCTTTTCTTGGCTTTGGGATGAGGAAATTTTAAGAAATAGATTGCATTGGTAAAAAATCAGGTAAATTGACATTAAATTGGGAGATTTAAGGGTTCTGGAATTGCAACTGTGCATTGGTTGTATTGTTTAGTGTAACATATTTATAATTTTCAGTAGACTTGCTAATTGTTTACATTGTTGTCACTACTATTTTTGTTAATCTTCTGTCTTCTGAGTCCTTGAACCATTCTCTGTCTTCAGAACTCACAATAACTGCTTAGAGCAATGCTTCCCAGGCTTCATTTCTCCAAAGGGCTTATCAGAAGGTCCTTTGGACCCAATGTAGGTAATGCAGTTTAATTTGAATGTCCCTGTTGTGATTGGGTAATGGGTTGGAGAGTCATTACCCAAAGAAAAAAATACTTTTACCCAAGTTTGGGTAATTTACCCAAGTTTGGGAAGCACTGCTTAGAGAATGGCAGCCCAGCTGCATCCTTATATTTGTTAGTTGTACATTCAATTTTTAAAAACAGACTTGTGGGGGGGGGGAGAAAACAGTTGTGATTTGTTCTTATGTCTAAGCTTTGAAAGGGGCTTGTACTTACTTGGTTTAAATTTTTCAAAATTAACTCGATGCATCCAATGTTTCCTTTTGCTTTTATTGGGTTGGAATACAACGTGGAAAACTTACTAAGCCATCACCTACCTCTGCAAGTGGGACATCTCTTCTGAGTGATTTTACTGCTCACTGTATTGGCTGGCATGATATACTGACTCACCTGCATGCTTGTGAAGAGGCAGCAGCTTCACTGATCAATTCTCTTGTGAATTTGCCATTGTTTATTTACGCTTGAGCAGCTTGGCTTCAGGAGTTGTAAGAAACTTTTCTTCCTGCACAGCTTTGGCTAACAGGTGACACATTAAAATATTAACTTCGGTGTTTGAAAAAGCACCCATGAGTTACATTGGCTTTTAAAAGACTAACAGATGCATCTCAACTAATTAACGTGTTATAGATGTCCTGCAGCACATTCTTGTCTATATCTTTATATGTTTCCTTTTTTTAAAACTGGACAGTGAAACTTTAAAAAAAAAAATTCTAATGTTTTTGCTTTTTTCTTTCTTTTTTTTACTTTCCACCTTCCAGCTGTAGAGTAGTTCCTGGAGAAGGCCATTACAACAATACAACTTCATATCTTAGCCTGTGTCGTTATGCTTAGAAGTGATGGTTGCCTGTTGCACAAAGAATGGAAACCACTGTTAGTGAATTCTCTCCCTCCTTCCGTGCAAAATATGTTCTTTTCAATATGCAACCTGTGTTCTAATTTAGTCTTTTTTTAATTTTATTTTGGCATGTTATGTCTGAAACAAACAAAAATAAAGCTTTATCTTTGAAGTGCTGCTGCAGGAAGAAAACTTACAAATGCTGAAGAAACATACTTCATAATGTAATAATTGCCATGGTAGCTTATTCTGCTCATAAGAAATATTCAAATTGTGTTTTTTAATTTCATTATAGAGCTTTCTTTTTTTAAGAAAACAAAAAAAGCAGTTGATTGTTTAAACATGTGCACTTTTACTATTTTGATATTTACTTTAATATCTTTTTATTCTTTTTTTGTAGAAGAGTTTATATTAATGGGAAAAAAAATCTAGTGACTTATGCTAATAGTCTGTCTATTTGGACCGTCTGCTTGATCTTTCCTCATCCATTTGTGGCAGAGTTTTATACTACATTGTATTGTTCTACCTGTATTTATAAAGGAGCTTCAATACAAACTAGAACTTCTGCTAAACGATCTGAGTGCTGTGTATCAGCATCTTTTTTTTCTTTTTTAATATAAAATATTAAGCTTTATATGTTTTCAATTACTGATTTTTAACTGCCATGTTAATTGAGAAATCCAGGGTATTCAAATTCTGGGGTTTTTTCATATTGTATTATTATTCTTAGGAATAGTTCAATGTAACAAGAAGAAAACTTGACTTTGCTCTGGTGGAAACAATTATAGGCACTTGAAAATAAATTTTAGTGTTACCTATAAATTCCAGAACGTCTGGGTTTTAGGAAAACCTTATGGTGTATGATTGGTTAACAGAATTTTATACAACGATATCACTTAAATTCCAAATTGGAATTGCTTTTGTTACTACTTTGTTTTATTGTGCCAAATTGTGTTACATTTTAGAAAGATAACGTCTAAAGTGGTGACTGCTAGGGTGTTCTACTTCGGCGCCTTTTTTCATTTAATTATTGCCAGTAGTGCCTTTCATAATTTTCAAGGGAGATCCTTAAGCTAGCTTAGTCCATCCAAGAAATAAAGAACCATAGTTTTGGAAGCTAGTTACCAAGTGGAGCAATAAGGGCAATATAACCTCCCCTTCGCACATTTATTAATGAGTAGACCTACTGTAGAGTAGATCTACTACATATGCTCAAATTGTAAAAAATTCTGTTAGTCAATGATACTTCATCATGCAAATTCAGGGGTATAGAAGAAAAAAAAGTAAACAAAACACAAATATACTTTGCAAACCAAAAGTAATGTTATTGAACAAAAGAAGCAAGGTGTATCAATCCATTTGTGGTTGCAGTACAGAGGATGTTTTGGGAGTTCTGGTAGCTTTGTGCGGTGATGGATCCAGTTAACCATAGTATTGTTTGCAAATGTGAAGAAGAAAAGCAAGATATTTAATATTTTTCTCTTGCATGTTTTATCTAATTCATTGTGATTTCAGGAAACAGAAATTAAGATGTGCATCAACAAGTTGTCCCTTGCAGTGCTATTTGTTGAGGCTGACTTCGAATAATTGAATTTGGTAACCTTGCGAGGAG